AGTTATAAATTCTTAACTCTATCGTTTTATTAACACAAAGAAATGATGAATATGATTTATATTTATATTTATATATTTGTGTCCCTTGACATGGGTTTAGATATATAAATGGCAAACATAGTGGGGGAGATAGAACAGAGTACAAAGGAAATGGCCTCTCCCAAGATGTATCATTGCTTCCTCTTTGCTTATGTTTTAGCTATCAGCATCTTCTTCAACAATGCAACTGCCATTGAAGAAGAAAGAGGCCATAGGAAGCACACCATGGCTAACCGTTTCTCTCTCCTTTATCTTGCCATCACACACTTGCACAATTGCACACCTTTTAATAAAATATTTTGTTTATAATCAGTTTGATCATAGTTTGATTATAGTTTTGACTATCAACCTTTAAACTAATACCTTGACTAATTCAATAATTGGTTTGGTTTGTAATACTTTGCTGTCACTGTTGACATCACTCCACCAACTCAACTTCGTTTCCTCAGTCTTCCTTAATTGTCAAGACCCACCACTATGCTTCAAATCCCCGACATGAGACATTGAGTCCCACCACCATGCTTTAGAGTCAGAGGAGCAAAGAGTCTACTACTATATTGTTTATGCTTATTGCATGGTATTTTAAGTAAATTCTTCTATTTGTACTCCAAATGAGAATTGTACATAATTGTGTCGGGCTTCTATTGAAGCAAATATTACACCCAAATGTAAAATCAAAAGTCAAAGACCAAAGCCCGCCTAAAGCGTGAAATTAATATATGTTGTTCTTGAAACTTGTTCTAGGGCTACGTGTTAGTCTTGTTTTATTAGCCGCAGCTGTATCACAAGTCACTCACCTTGCCGCCATTGTTTTATATATATATATATTTGTGTAAAGGCTACTGTACTATCATTGAGAACAGAATATTATACTTCTAGAATTGTTGTCTCTGAATCTTGTTATGGTATCAAAGCTATAAGACTTATCATTACAATCATGAGTGAAAAATCATCTGAGTGGTCTCCCTGTGCAGAGTCAAAATCTTCTCCCTTATCTTCCTTTTCTTCTTCTCCATCTCATTTTATTTCTATCAAATTAACAAAGGAAAATTATTCTTTTTTGAAGGCTCAAATACTTCCATATCTTTATGGACAAATTATTTTTCATTAATGAAGGAAATTATTCTCCACCCTATATTTCTTTTCCTGATGGAAAATCTAATCCAGAATACCACAAAATGGTTTCCTCTAGATCAACTGGTTTTATTTGTTTTAATTTATTCCCTCTCCCTGGATCTTCAATTGGTCAGGTGACTGAACACAATACTGCCCGTTCTATGTGGGAAAGCTCTTGAAAGATTAGTTCGCCCAGCAATCTCAAGTAGTAAGGTATCTTCATTTACATCACTAAATTACTTCTCTTAAAAAAAAAGGTTTATATTTGAATATTTTAAAACTCAGTGCTTTGTGCCAAACAGGCCTTATGAAATAAGAAGAATCCTAAGCTAATTCCAATGCTCAAAACAATATGAGCCATGTCAAAGCACAATGTTTTAATAGAAATGAGATATTAAAGCTTCTGACAACGAGTCTCAACTAATAAAGCAGCAATTCCTGGCCAACACGTTAACATTTTGTTTAATAATTAGAGAAAGGCTTTTATTAGATCCACCACATACATACCAAAAAAGTAAATCTGTTGGGCTATTCATAATAAGAGAGAATAAATGAAACCGGAGAAGCAAAGAGAACAAAAAGTTACTGGCTTGTCATTATCAATTGCACTTGGATTTAGGTCTAAATGGGTCTTGATTTAGAAGGATACCACCACCAATTTGCATATCATTAACCAACAAAGATTAGCCTAGTTGATAATAATTTAGCTCATAACTCACAAGATCGTGGAATCAAATTCTGCTAACAATGTAAATACCTTCTTGGTCGATGATCTATAAATACATCTAAAAGTGTTCTCTAAGTCTAGAGGCATGCCCTAACCCTAGTAAGCCTTTGGGATTCAATTCACCTAAACTTTTTTCGATAAAATAATTTGCAAATTACTAGATTTATAATTTGTTACTAGGTGTAGGGCCACATTATTCTCTAAGATATCCATATTGTCACTTCCTAAGGAATCACATATGCATAGCCATAATTGATATCTTCACCAGAATTAACCTCAATGACCATTAAACTGCACGTGGCTCGGGGGATCTCAACATTTTTATCCATTCTCATCTCATGATTGAGCACATTATTTTAGGGAGTAATTGTGTTGCACTAACAGCTTAAAATTATCATAGGTGAGATTGAACTCGTAACTTCTACTTACCTAAGAACTAATATGCCATTAGGCTACAAAATCATTGAGCCCTATTCGCATTGCTAGGTATGGCATAATGCTACGCATGCAACATGCACCCTCCTCAGTATTTGCGAGGACATCAAAACATGAGCCATTCCCACCATTACCTCTAACAACACAATTTTTTATCCTTGCTTTTTCTTGGCCTTTGTGGTTTTTACACTCTATTATTAAAATCATAAAATATTAAAATTACAAAATTTTATTGAATCATGATTTCTTTGAAAAATCATAAAAAATGTAAAACTCTATCATTTTGGGGATTCAAGATACAAGATTGTCTCTTATTTTATGTAGAAACCAATAATAAAAAAGTGAAAAATTAGGGCATTATAAAGGACATCCAAAGGAGTGACATAAAAGGCCCCAAGCCCCTTGATTTTTGAGAAAAATACTTCTTCATTTTCCCCAAATTTCAATTCAAAAATCAAGTTTTAATTTGAAAACCCTTAAGTAGCTCTGGATCTGAAGATTTTGAAATTTATGTTCCACTAATCCATTTGAAATGGAATATTACGACCTGTTAAAATGAATTATTAAAATTCTGGAATATATTTTTGTCATATGGTTTTGGCGATTTCATGAATAAATCACTAAAATAAGCTCTCAGTGCTTTCGAAATTTTAATACAAAATAAGTTTTATTTTTTATTTAAAATGTGTGTTATAGCTGGCTTTTATAAATTTTAAATGTTTGACAAATTTTTGGCTACTTGAATACATATTTAAAATTTGTTTATACTCAAGGAATCTTCACAAATTAAATTTCATATTTTACATTCCTAAAATAGAAACATTTGCTCTACACATTTCTTGAGGAGATTTTTTTTTTTTTTTTTTTTTTGCAAGGCTTGAAATTTTTTAGTGTGAATTTAGTGACACGAAGAGCAAAACTCGACTTTTACTCATGTTGAAAGTGATTAGTAGTGCATTTTTTTCCCGTGAAATTTGGTTTTTGGCAGTCTTTGGTATCCATATATTCCCTCTCATTTATATACTTTTCTTTTGACTTTCTTTAACCTTACATTCTCTGAATCACAATATAAGTCATTATTAACTGATTTAGGTCTTTAAAAAAGTTGGTTAAGATATTAATTTTTTAAAATATTTTACATTTTTCTAATCATGCCTTTGAGTATAATAAATACAACATTTAAATTATTCAAAAGACCATTATTAACTATTCAATAAAGTAAGGGTGTCATTGAAAAAAAAATATATATATATATATATATAACACCTCAATGTCCTATGCTTTGAACTAAACAAATCTTCTGAAAAATGACTTATATTGTAGTCAACAGGGATTATTTAAATTATTATTACTGAAATATTACATCAATAATATGTAAAAATCTCTCGTGCGCTTTGAATGCGGATTAGATTTTTTATAACTTTTATTTTAAGTTTTTGTTTTGTTTTATGACTCTTTGTTAATGAAGAAAGACACTAAAAAAAGGTTATTTTAAAGACATAGTCTTTATCTTGCATTCCAATATTCTAAGGTGTTTGATTATCACTAATGTCTTTCCAAGGATCATAATTATCATTTTCTCTTCATGCAATCTTTTAGTCCTTTATTGTCATTCCCACTAACTTGTAACCATTATGAAATAAATAATCACAACTAATAATAGAAAAGCTCTCAATAGCCAATAATAGTTGAAATTGAATGGAATGGATTTGTCATCCTTTAAATAAGATCCAAAGTTGGAATATTGTAAATGTTAAAAAACTATATTACAAAAGCCACCTATTCAAGCTCAACAGTAATTTAATATGAATTGATCTACATTATACATTTATGCGACAGCTTACAATATTGTATGCCAAATAATTCTTGAACAAAATCTATGAATAAAATATATTGTTTGTTTAAATCAATTACATGAAAAATTGATAAATTTTATTATAAACATTGCAAAAATATTATAACTCAAGATTTCAAGTTAAAAACTATATTGAAACAAGGAAAAAAAATATACATTTAGTCCTTATAATTTAATTGAAGATTCAATTCGTTTTTTTACATTTAAAATTTTAATGAAATATTTATAATTTATAAATTATTTAATTTTGTCCATTTTGATATAAATTGTCTTTGTTATATTCTATTGGTGTAACATCATATATATATATATATAATCTTAATACATTTAATATGTATAATGATGAAAGAAGGTTCTAAAAATATAAGTTATAAAATATATATCACATATATGACAATATGTTTACAAAAATATAATATTAAAGACTGGATTAAAATTTATTTTAGCTATATATGCTTCATTACAATTTTTAAAATTTTAAATGTCCCTTTGAAAATCGAGTGAAATTATAAAGAACAAATCAATATATTCTGTAAAAGAAGTTAAGTTTTGAAATTATTGAAAAAGAGTTTAGGGTCAAAAGTTTAAACTTCATGGAAAAAAAATTACAATTTAGAAATCAAAAAATTAAAATCACATTTAGTCCTCCAAAGTACTCTAAAAGTTATTTTTGGTTATTAATTCTTAATTCTAATGTTTTATTACTCAAAGAAATTATGTGCTTTTTATTTATATTTATAATCTTTATAGTTTTGTCCCTCGATATAGGCTTAGATAAAGCCTATAAATGGAAAACATAGTGGGAGAGATGGAATCGAGTATAAAGAAATGGCCTCTCCCAAGAAGTATTATTGCTTCCTCTTTGCTTCTGTTTTAGCTATCAGCATCTTCTTCAACAATGGAACTGCCATTGAAGAAGAAACAGAGGCCATAGGAAGCAAACCATGGCTAACAGTTTCTCTCTCCTCTCTCTTTCCATCTCACACTTGCACACCTTTAACAGGTTCTGTCTCTCTCCCTCTCTCTCTCTCTCATAATATGAAAATCCAAGTCAACCTACCCAGCTAAACCGATAAACTGTGTTGAATCAATCTCTTGATCAATTTAATAAAATATTTTTTTGTTCATAACAGTTTGATCACATTTTAACCACAATTTTGACAATTAACTTTTTAATTAATATTTTGATTGGTTCAATGATTAGTCCGACTTTCATCACCTTTGCTAATAAGTCACAATGTTCCTAGCTCATGAAATTGTGAACTTACTAAAGTTTTATATTATGTATAGATATTTCGTAGGTTATATATTTTCCATCTCTCTTCCCTAAAGCATTTTCAATTGATATCTGTAGATGTGTATGGCCGTATGTCTGCATACTTGTGCACATTCTTCTTTCATACATAAATTTAGTTGTAATATTATGAATTTGAATCATCTGTGTATGTTTGTTGTTAAATATGTGATATTCAGAAAGATGATGAAAAGAAGGGGAAATGAATAATACTCTTGTCAAGTAAAATTTATTACTCGTCTTTCACTCTCTTGAACGATCTAATTATAGATATATAGAGTAATAACATGTGACTTATGATTAGAGTACTACTAATTTTGATTTATGTGTAGTAATATAATAACTTCAAGTTTTAAAATTTTTGTTAAATGTTTATAGGATATATTTTGTCATTGGATTTAGATGTACAAGAGTTAAGATACAAAAATACACATAAATGTTTACTCCAGGAACTTCTGATGATATCTTTAAGTCAATAGTAGTGCATGTGTACCTATTAACTTTATAGAAGAGACCAACCTTTCTCAATCCATTAAAATAGCTTGACATGGGCCGTAGATTTAATGGGTTTTGTAAATAGGTATCCATGCACCATTATTGATTTAATGATATCAGAAGCTTTTGGAGATTTTTGCATCTTAACCTTAATTACATACAATGGCTTTTGTATATATGTACTTTATCGTTGAAAACTATATGTACTCTAAGTACAAGCCTAGAAGTGATCGATTGTATAGATCAATCCGTATATATAACGTAATTTGATACAACTGATTAGGTTTGAAGAAGAATTCAGGCTTGGAAGTGATACAAAGACATGGGCCATGTGGTGAACTAAGGCATGGGAAAGCAAATCCTAAAACTATTCCAACACACTTTGATATCCTAAGTGAAGATCAAGCAAGGGTGGATTCACTTCACTCCATGCTCTCCAAAAGGTTGAGCCATGACAATATGAAGCAATTGGATTCTATAGAGTTACCACTATTGCCCGGTGCGGTCCTTCGCACCAATGGCGAATACATTGTCACCATTGGCTTGGGTAGCCCTGAAATGAACTTGTCACTCATTGTTGACACGGGAAGTCATCTCACCTGGACACAATGCAAGCCTTGTATTGTTAAATGTTACAACCAACAAGAACCAATCTTTGATCCCTCTAAGTCCACAACGTATTCACACATCAATTGTAGCTCTTATACGTGCAATCAGATTTTGTCTACTGCAAGTAAGTTAACTAATCCTTCCCCCCCATGAAATAGTCAAGCTATATATGCATATTCTCACTCTATATTCTCACTCATTTTCATATAAAAATGGAGCAAGAGAAGTACTACCTTCTAATTGACTTTTAATAATAAAGGTTTTATTTTTATATTTTGAAAATTAACTATAAATGTCTCTTGATTATGTTTTGATTGAAAGTTAAATTGTTGCTGATAAATGCGCGGACCATTGTGTATTTTTTTTCTTGAGATAAACTATAGTAATAATTATTGTGAATTTACAACCCCAACACTCACACACACCATATTGTGTGAGTTATGTACTGCTACTTCTAGTCATTTTAATAAGAAATTAAGAACAACTTTAAATAAATTCATATTATGTGTGTTTTAAATCTTGTAAAATTTTAAAATTAATTTCTATACACATATTAATTAGTTAGAGGGGTTTGTTTAAATAATTAGGAAGTTTCATAGTTTGTCAGGAATACTATGTGAAAAAAAAATAACACTTTAAACAAAGTATATTATATAACAGGAAACATGATAGAATTTCTTATAAATAGGCCGTATTATTATTTTTATCGTTATATTTTATAGAGTTAAAATTGTTAATCTTTGTTGGTTTAGTTATTACTCTTTTGTTTCAAAAATTATAATATATTTTTGTTTATTTTGAATTAAAATCATAATTTTCTCAAAAATTTACTTCTTATCACTGCCATATTTTATGATATATGCAAACTGTTAATTTAGATGAAAAGATTAATTTGATATGCTTGTCATAGACTATCAAAATGGATGTCAGCGTCTTGGAAGAAATTTAACTTAACAATTTTACGGTTAACAAATAAATAGGGTGACGTACATTAGTTTACATACATGAATGTGTAATAATTAAGAGAAGCTAATGAATTTTTAATTAAAAAAATTGATGGCACACAACTAAATTAATGATATTTTTATATTATTTTAAAAGGATAAATAATTAAAGAATTCTTAGTCTTCATAAACATAACCTTGTTTTCCCCCTATACAGGATATCAAGAATGCCCTAATTCTCCCACAACATGTATATATGTGGCTAAATACATGGACACTTCTACCTCGGCCGGCTTTCTCAGCAAAGAAAGGCTCACCGTCGCCGCCAATAACACTTTTGACAACTTCTTATTTGGTTGTGGCCAAAACAACCGAGGGATTACCTTTGGTGGTGCCGCCGGCGTACTTGGCCTTAGCCGCCACCCAATCTCCTTCATCCAACAAACGGCCGAGGCCTATAACAAAGTCTTCTCCTATTGTCTTCCCTCCAACCCTAGCTATGTCGGCCATCTCACCTTCGGCAGCGACGGAGTTTCCAAAGATGTCCAATACACTCCGATCAGCAACATCCCCGAGTTAACCTCGTTATACGGCATCAGCATCATCGGAATAACCGTTGGTGGAATAAACCTAACGTCCGTTACTTCTACATTGTCATCGGCCAAAGCAATCATTGACGTCGGCACGTTAATCACGAGGCTTTCGCCGTCAGTTTACACTGCCCTGAGATCGGAGATCCGACGCCGGATGGCGATGTATCCGATGGCGAGCGAGATGTCGATATTGGACACGTGTTATGATTTTAGTGGGTACAAGACAGTGATGTTCCCAAAGATAAGCTTGGTGTTTGGTGGCGGGGTTAAGCTAGACTTGGCTGCGAGTGGGATCTTTATTGCTGTGAGTCCCAAACAGGTGTGTTTGGCTTTTGCTGCGAATGCCAGAGAAGATGATATTATTATACTTGGAAGTGTTCAGCAGAAGACGATAGAGGTGGTGACTGATCTTAATGATGAAAGGCTTGGATTTGGGCCTCCTGGTGGCTGTAAGTGAGACAAGTCACGCATAAGACATAGTAACTGTTGAAATGATATATTATTGGGAAAAAAAATCATGCATTTAATATTTACAATTTCAACTAGTGTTATACTAAATTTGCTTGGTTTTTGAAAAATAAGTGACATGGTTGAGGTATAGTATAATTTGCTGTGATTTATATTTTATTTTGAGTTTGATTTGATATATATTGGTGAAATTATATTTTGACATGAAATATCTATTTTTTTAAAAAAAATGAGGTTTTTGAAGAAAATAAATGCTAAGAAAGTATAATAATTCATTCAAAAACTCAAAACAATGAATCATTTACTATTTGTTAATTTCATTAATCATGAAGCCAAAATTAATTGCAAATCCTTGTGCTCATAAGTGCAAGCATTTTCTTTGTTGATCAAAGATAAAGAATCCCCATAGCCTGATCTCCCACAAAAATAGATAACCCTATACTTTTGAACGACTCTTTATCGACATATACTAAAAATGTCTGAAAATATGCGTTTAACAATACGAGATCACCACTAATAGTTCCAAGACCGATTAATTTGGCACCTCTAGCCTCGGGAATTAAATTGAAATTGTAAGAATAGATCAAATTCTAGGGTATGCTGCAACAACATATTCTTTCATCAACCACATATAACTTATAAGTACCTAGCTAGTACAAAAATATTTTTAACACTTATTTTTGGCATCAGTTAAAAAGGAATAGGTGATGAAAATGTGCGCAGTGGCATTTGCATAAGTTGAAACTTGTAAAAAGGAATCGATGTCAAAAGTGTCGTCCATGGCATTTTTGTAATTGAGCAAAAATTTGCAAGACTTTATGAACTTGTTAGAAAGCAACAAGTGCCAAATTGTTTTTAATATTTGGTCAAAATTGTTTCGTTTTGGCCCATTTATTTCTCAAATAAAACCCTCGTTATCTACTCTCATCGTGTTTTCTGCTCTTCATATCATCACTCCGCAACTTGTCTCTCCTACCGTCCGTGCTTCTCATCGTCATCATGATTCAACCTCGGTGTCACTGTCAATATCACTCCACTAGCTCAACTTCGGCTCCTCATTCTTCCTTCATCATTAAGACCCACCTCTATGCTTCAAATATCTAACATAAGACGTTGAGAACCACCACCATGCTTTAGAGTTAGAGGAGCAAAGAGTCGACTACTGTATTGTTGATACTTTCAGAGTGTTCTAGGACGTCACTTTCGGTCTTCCTTCAAGGTTCATGTTTGTCACATGATATTTTAAGTAAATTCTTCTATTTAATTTGTACTCCATATGGTCGTACATCATTCAAGCTTCTAGCAATGTAATTTCATTCTTAGACCTTTTAAATGGATCTTCATATCACTATATATGTCCACACACATGCATGAGCTATTTAGGCATCCATTTGGGCTTGAATAATAAAGTTGAATCACGTTATGAAATTCTCATGGTCTATTAGACAATGTGTTTGGGTCCCGATTTAGAGGATTGAAGTTGGATTCGTCCATGTGCATATATATAATTGTTTTATTGCTTCTTTGAAAACCTTAATTACATAAATCTTATTTTATTATAATAAACTAGAACGAAAACCCTAATTCTAGAAATAAGGAGGTGGGTGGCGCCTCCTCAAAGTAGAATTGGAAACATTCTTCATGAGCACGTAATCAAATCTCAGCAAAAGTGAAATAATGTAACTTGGAAAAGAATAGTTAAGATTGTTAGTACTCAAAAGTGTCTCGTCATGCATATGCATATTCAAAGGCTTTTGACAAATATATTTACTTTTAACCTCACTTTTGTCACTATCCTCTCCCTTATACTCTTCTCTCTTTTTTTTCTTTCTTTTTTCTCAACACACTTTTTTTTTTGCTTCACTCTCTATATTTTGATATTTCTCTATACGATCAATCGCTCTTTTTTCATCTTCCTCTTTATTTTCACTCTTTTCTGTCTCTATATTTTCTTCTCACTCTTTTCTTTCTCTCTCCCCAACTCATTTTCTTTTGTTCTATTAGCATGCTCTTTTTCTCTCATTCTATGTGCTTTCAAAATTTTGATTTGATCATTATAATCCTATAGAGGCTTGAGATTTTAATACATTAATTCAAATGCAAAGGAAATAACAATTTTTTTTATACAAGGAAATAACAATTCTTATATCTATCATGTTTTGCTCTTGTAACATGTTTCCATGGATGGCCTAATAAGATGTATATGCAAAACGTGTATGCATGGATGCATCATATAGAATTTCGCCTTGATATCTACCCAATGAAAAAGAAATTTAAACCTACTTAGACACCGAAAACTCATCACCACATACAACAATTTATATGGTTTAGGATGGTAAAAGGTAGGCAAATTTAATTTCTCAACCATGCATAAGGGCACTATCAATATTTGCACCAATATTGTAAGACCCTGAGTTTAATCTTGGGATTTAAATTGAGGAATTATTTTTAATTGAGGTTAATTATTTGATTAATTAGGATTTTAATTATGACTCAAATTGGGCCTCGTATCATGATTTAGGTAGTACACTTGCAATTGTTTTTTATTATTTAAGGGAAATATTTTTCTATCATGGTAAGGTTTTATAAAGTTATTTGACTCTTTCTTACCAGATAGTCTCTTTTTTATCATAGTAGTGTTTTCAAAATGATAATCTTTATTTTTTTTCTACCATGGTAAACCCTTTATTACCATGGTAGTGTTTTGAAAAGATAAAGTTTGTTCTTAATTATCATGGTAAAGGTAATTAATCATGTTTTTGAAAATTAGAACGTTACAAATATCACCATAATGATCATGAGGCAAACCTTCTTTGATTAAGAGCAGAGTGTGGAAACTAAATGATAGCTCATATTCTCCTTTATTTGACATTTTTAGTTCTTGCAATAAAGGTTAAAAAGGAAATATATATATATATATATATATATAGGATCCTCACACTCTCCACTCATGTTTGGCTTTTATCTTGATATATATCACTCTTGCCTTTTAACACTCAAACTTGCCTCCTTATAATATTGGGAAAATCACTATCAGGTCCCCTACAACCATTTCAAACACCCAAAAGTCTCACCTAATTCATAAATAGTTCTCAAATCCCCTAGGACTTAAATGTACGTAAGATAGAAATTACAATTACCAAAATACGCATAGTTTATTCCAAAGTCACTTCCTTTTTTTTTTCCCCGCCTCAGCATTGCATTTTTTCAATGGATGTTTTATTAAGTACCCATCTCAATGCATCTCCCCCAAGTCCCCTGCGTGGAACCAATCTCCCAATTTCAATTGTAGCCCAATATAGAAGTGAATTTCCCTATAAAACTACTTCGCCATTGCGGGTTGACCCGTCGTTGCTGCCTTCGTCTTTAACTCTTTTATCCGAATCCTTCAGTAGATCCATCGCATCCATCTCTGCCAGCCTGATTGTTCTCACCCCTCGCCATGCCTTCGAATCTGGGTTCAACGTACTTGAAATCACCAAGCCTCTTGCTTGGATTGACCCATGCATACTCCTAAGTAACCACAAACGTTAAAGCTTCTACTCGGTGAAACTCTTTGGCTGGTGGCAATACTACTGCTGCTATGAGGACTTGAATGGGGCTTTCCAAGGGCTCTTTTGTTGAGGAGGAGTCTGTTTTCCTTTTAAGTATCGCTGGTGCAATGCACATGTGTGTGACACCATGGCTTTTGAATCCAAGTCCGTGTGACATTTTCTCAGGGGTAGTATTATTTTTATTATTATATTATATAGACGTAAAATTGTTCATCTTTGTTGGTTTAGCTATCATTCTTTATTGGGAGAATGGTAATAAAATCCCAAAGGAATTTATGATAGTTAAGTCATTGACAAAATTTTTCAATAAATAAGTTGCAACTATTAATTCAACCAATTGCAAACAAGAATCCTAATTGTAAATTGAGAGTTATACTTGATATTTACAGGATAAATTAACTCACTAGCCAAAAAATCTTGTGCCAAAAAAATGGAACAAATTTTAAAAAATTTATGTGTAACTAGTTCATGTTGATAAACGAGGGATTTATCATTAAAAATTCAAAAATTTATAAGAAATTTATCATTGATATACAATGGTATATTAACAAATATAATAAATTAGTCATAATATAAAATATAATATATGTTGGACTGTTTGCTCGGTTTGGTCCTATAACATGGACTATATCTATAAAAGCTCCAAATTTAAATATCTTATATGCAATCCAAACTCCTGAATTTAGACTTGTTGAATTAATATTTTCAATTGATTTTTCAGAAAAATTGTCTAGGACCTAACTACCATAAATTCTCAATTTTTGGACTTTATTGTCATTCTACCTTCTTTATTCAAAAATTATTATTTATTATTTATTCATTTTAAATTTACCTTATTTCAATAAATTTTTAGTTCTTTCTGTAAAATATATTAATATAATATTGGATCCTAAAAAACAAAATAAAACTATTTCACCACTTTTATTGTTATACTAGAAGAGGAAAATCGATCATAATTTACTTAACAATTTGCTTACCATTGCCAAATTTTATTATGCAAGATGTTAATTAACTCTAAAATTATGATACGTTTGTCATACACTCATGCCATATCAAAATGGGATATGTTAGTGTGTTTGAAGAAGTTGAAGCTAAAAATTTTATTATGGTTAAGGGCTAAATAGCAAGTTGACCCCCTAAATTATAAATCCAGAAATATTTAAAATTCTAAACACATTTTGGTGCAATGTTTTCTTTCAACTTTTCAAAGTAGTGCAGTGTTGTCCCCATCTTTAGCAAATATTAGTTTAGACCATTAGTTAGCAAAAAAATTGTAGAAAAATGCCTCAAACATTAAAGCAAAGGACCAAGAAAATGAGTTTAGGGTATTTTTGTAAGTTTTGATTTGGATCCTTTTTAAACTAACAGTCAAAATTAAATTTTATTGATGGTAGAGATAATCTATGAAACACCAATACATCAAATTGCCTCATGC